TTATTAGGACTTAATTGCTGGGACATCGAAGGGCATCTTATCTGGAAGTGCTTCCAAAAGCATGCCCCTTGTTGCTTGTTAACCAGACTAGCCCAGCTTTGCTGCCTTTCTCCTTCCCCTCCTCTGCTCCATCTCACCCTGCACACTGCTTTCTTTTTATTTTGTTCTTTCTTTCAGTATTCAGAGGTGTCTCTCCCTGAAGTAGGCCTTTGTGGTGAAATCTAGGCCAGGCCAAGAATAGGGCCGAATGCCCCAGATTGTGGTTTCTGTCATTTCATAGATGCAAGGTTTGCTTTTCTCGGTACCAGCCCAGACGGTGACACCGTTGCAGTCTGGTACTTAAGGTCCCCGGGCCGTGCTGACCCAGGAAAACTGGAGGAGTGTTTGCAATCCGCTGGCAGACTTGGTATCTTCTCCAGCTGTGCAAGGAGCTAAGATGAATGAAGTTGCAAACAAGAAACCCCCAAGCCCCCTCTATTGCTGAATTCTTCTGTTTATTACAATACCCAGCCAGCAATCAATATCCATCTGGGGAGGAGGGGAAAGAAGAGTCTAAGGGATGCTCTAGGCTGCTTTTTCCTACCTGGAAAAGGAAACATTACAGATGCACAGCTCCACAGGCTGGGGGATAAGCAGGCCAAGGAACCGCAGGGGTTTGCAAGCCGAACTACTGGAGGCACCTCTTTCCCAGGGGCTGGGACTCTGAAATGCAAAGGGGAAACCTCTCTCCAGCTTGTGGGCAGCACCACATCTAGCTGCCACCTTTGTTTCCGCCAGGCAGCCCAGGCGCAGACACCTCTCTGCCCATCGCGGTGCCTCTCCCGTGCTGCCTTTCAGGCTGGGCCAGGCTGAGATTTCTACTTCATCAGGGGGCTGTCTCCATCATCGGGCACAAAACGGAAGCAGGTGCCTGACTGCTTGGCTGACTTAGTTTGCATATAACCTCCTGCCCCACTGCAGCCAAAGGGATGGGGAGCAGGTCCTGCATCCCGTCTCCAGACTGAGCTTTGGTCCCATCTGCTTTACCCGCGACAGTTCACGTGTGACGTCGTGCGTCGTGTCTGGCCAGCAAGCTTGTCAGGAGCACTGATCCATTAGTTTTAGATTGTGGATTTGTATAGGATGATTTGGATAGGGATGATCCTGGATTGAGCAGGGGATTGGATCAAATGACCCCTGGTCCCTTCCAGCCCCACTTCTCTACGATTCCCTGATGAGCAGCCCTCCCTGTCAGAGATGCCATTATAAAATTAGACCTGCCAGATGTGCGGCGGCATTCACCTGCCAGATGTGCGGCGGCATTCACTTGTCGCTCCTAGCAGCTTCGTGCACAGTAAGGGCTTCTGGGCAGCAGCCGTAGCAAAGGGCAGCAGTGAGTCCTTGCGATGAGCGGATCTCTCTACCAGGAGTGTCTTGAATGTATCATGCCTGGCTAATGAGCATCTGTGCTGGGCAGGGAAAGTGCAGCAGCCAGTGCTTCCCCCACCATCCTTATGCCTTAGTTGGGTTAGTCATCTTACACCCCAGGGACAGCTGCTAACCACCTCGATGAGCTGCCCTGGGCCTGTGCACCGTGGTCAGTGGGGTGAGCTCAGAGTGGCAGCTCCAGGAAGCCAGTCTTCTTCAAATGGCCGTGTTAGCTTGCTCTTTAGGGTACGGGCACAAGCAAGTTCCCAGGAGGTAAGCTGGGATGTGAAGTTACCGCAGGTCGGCTGCTCTATGGGAAGTGCCTGTGTGCACGCTTTTGTTCCTTGGTGAGCACAAGGTGCCTCAGTTGGGCGAGATGCCTGAAATTCCCATTGATTCAAGTGGCAGATGCTGGTGCTATGTTAGTAGGGGTGCCAAGAACCACTCGTTTAGGCCAATACGGGGCCTTTGGGGAGGCATCTAAGTGGTCTAAGCTGGCAGGATGGAAAGGCCATTTGCTTACCTTCATTATGAGCCCTTTTGCATTGCATTGGTGCATAGCCCTGGCTCCCCGGAAGCTGCAGGACCAGCGCCAAGATTCAACCCCGCTGTTTACGATCAGCAGTGCCCACTGCAGTTTCTCCAAAAGTCCTTCACCCTCCGGGAATTGGCAAGCATTGCATAAATGCCCTGGTCCGGCTAAGTGCTGTGAGTCTCTCCTATCTGTGCTCATTGCTGCAATGTTTATGGCCATCGCAAACCCCCAAAGAAGTGATATCAGCCGAGCTCGAACGACCAACCCTCATTTTCTTTGCAGAAAGACCAGCTGCCCCCACCGAACTCCACCTTATAAATATTCCAATCCCAATTTGCAGCAGTGCGAGGCAAAGCCAGATTGATGAATTATTTAAAGCTTTTACAAAATGTAGGCCTTTGGTTTATCTCCGAGCCGGCTTGCTTTATTGTATCAACAAATCCATCATTAGTAAATTAATTTCCCTCCCCTTGCTTGAGCAGGTTCTTGCTCTTGCCTGCTGACTTGCTTGGTTTGTGAATTGGTGCCAGATAATGCCTTAGGAAGGAGTCCCTGGCTTCCCTTTGTCACGTGGGGATGGCACCAGTGTCGCTCACTTTCCTTTTTTAAGTGGTTTTAATGCATCCAGTGCTCGTAAAAAGTGCCAACAAACAGCCTCAGAGGCTGAAGCCTTGCTTTTAGCTAAGCTGGGTCCATAGCCCTTTCAGTCCTTTGTCTCTCTGTGTGGAGAATACTCATGGGGCTGCCAATTTGGGGTAGGCTTGGACTGGTAGCGACCCGTCCACTGGGAACTAGGCTGAAATCAGCTTAACTCCCAGGGGACGCATAGAAGCCATTAGATGATGTTGCTGTTGCTGCTACAGGCTGGGTTTGAATGACAGGGTAGCTGGTAAAATGCATCTTATCTCACTGCCACCCGCATCTCCTCCACACCCATCTCAGATCATCTGCAAGGATAGGATCTGCAGAAGTGCCTGAGCTAGGAGCACAAGTGCAGGGAAAGTCAGTGAGAGGAGCTCGTGGGTCACTAGTGTGTGTTGGAAAATCTCAAAGCATGTACCAGAGAGGCCAAGGGAGTGGGGGGTGGGCTGGATTCACTGAGCCTCATTAGCAGCCTTCAACTCCCTGCAAGGGGGCTGCAAAGAGGATGGAGCTGGACTGTTCTCAGTGCAGGCAGATGACAGGACAAGGAGCAATGGTCTTAAATTGCAGCAAGGGAAAGTTTGGTTGGATATTAGGAAAAACTTCCTCACTAGGAAGGTGGTGAAGCACTGGAACAGGCTCCCTAGAGCAGTGGTGTAGTCTCCATCCTTGGAGGTTTTTGAGACAAAGCCTTGGCTGGGATGCTGTAGTTGGGGCTGGTCCTGCTTGGAGCAGGGGTTGGACTAGATGTGACCCCCTGAGGTCCCTTCCAACCCTCATTTTCTATGATTAACTGAGAAACCTGCACCAGGCCAGTGGAGCCAAAAGGGGTCCAGCACTGGACTGGTTGTCATGGGTTTGCTGGTGGCCTTGTACTGGGGGATCTCATAGCCCACTGCTCATTTCTGCATCGCTGCTGTTCTTGGCGGTTTTATACAGAGGGCAAAAGCAGAGGGGGAGGCTGAGAGGCAATGACTTGCCCAAGGTCACCACATCAGACATTGGCAAAGCTGGGGCTAGACTTGTGAGTGCCAGCTCAGTGCTTTCTCTGCCGTGTCTCTTAGCACAGTCTCTTAGCACAGTTGTGCTGGCTTGCAGACACCTATATTGATCCTGCAAAGCCTTTTATCCCACCAAACTGTGGAGCTGCTTGCAAATGTCTTTGCCGGAAAGCTGGTTGTGTCTTGGAGTTCCCCCATCCTTGCGGGTGCTTGGAGGCTGGCGATGCTTTCTGCAAAGGGTTCACATGTTGAGCCATCCCTCCAGGAGGTATTTCTCCAGCATCCCCGGCATGCTCTCCCCGCTGTCAGGCAAAGCACCGCGTCTGCTGCCAGACAGCGAGAGGCTTAATTTTCACACACACAGAGCTGGCTCCCAGATGCGATGGAAAACAAGACAGAGGAGCGTGTTCAAGTACAGCCGAGCACTAAATATTCAGTGCGACATGCAAGGGTTTAGCTGCACGCGTCTCTCTCGTGTGACCGAGGGCTGAGAAGATAGAGAAACAATTAGGTTTGAACTTAGGAAGGCCAGATCCAGATCCGCTCCAGTAATGACACTTCTGGTGGAAGAGGCAAGCCCCGAGAGGCTCCTCATAATTGGCTCTCGCATACTCTGGTGGGCAACAGCACAAAAGCCCAGATGCAGATAAAATATTCTGCCTTAGTGGTGCCAACTCCAGGGGTTTCAGCATCGCTGTCGTAGCAGAGAAGACTCGCATGCTAAGAGCCAAATCTGCCCTCTGCTCTCCCTGCTTGTCCTGAAAACCAGGGAATTGGAGGTCATTTTTTATCATCATCATTTTCAACACTGAACTGGAAATATAAAACCAGCGCGCGATGTGGCAGAAGCTTTAAATCAATGGGCGAGTAATACAATCACCAAGAAATCAGGCAGGAAGATATCATTGCTCAGGAAAGGTATTGTGGGTCCCTGGTATCTACAGTGGCATGCACGTGTCCCACAGCAGCTTCCCCAGAGGTGGCTCTTAAAACTTGCACTGCTTTCATTAGGGTGAATCAAGTGGAGGGGCTGCTCTTGTGAAGGTAGACGTCTTACAGGATCGTGTGGTAATGCTGTCACCAGCTGGGAAGCGATCCAATGCATGCTCTTTTCCAGGAACTGTTTAAATGGGAGCTCCTTTGAGCATATTGTATGGCACCTCGCTGCGTTCCAGCAACGTGATGACACCACACGATGCCATTGCATCAACGACTCACCCAGCTTGCAATGTTTGGGTACCACCAGTTTCTTACCAGGTCACGTTTTACTGAGTTTCTGTTAGAGAATATTTTTATAAAGAGGGGCAATATCATAATCATAATTTATCCAAAAACACCCCAAGGGTGAAGGAGTTTGATTAGCTATCCAAAATTTGTGCTTTGAGGACTGACATCATTTTTTTCTTCTTGTCTAGTTTTCTACTGGTCTTCTCCTGCCTCGTGCTGTCTGTTTTTTCAACCATCGATGAGTACCAGAATAGCTCTGAAGGGGCCCTCTACATCCTGGTAAGCTGAGAGTTGCAAATAAAAAAAGTGTGTGACAGTGAGGGGGAAATAACCTATAACACTATTGATTTTTTTAACCTGGACAAGCATTTGTGGTGCTGTATTCAAGAGGGGATCAGTCAGAGGCGGTGTCTGAAAGATGGTGATGTTTTTGGTAGCCGCATTGGTCTGCGACAAAAAGAAATGCAAAAATCTAGAACTCTTGCTCCGGAAATGATACCTTTTATAAGTATAAGATATTTGCATTTCTTTTTGAAAAATGGCCAGCTTAGACCACTTTTATAAAAGGTATCATTTCTGAACCAAGAGTGCTAAATTTTTGCATTTCTTTTTGAAAAATGGTGAGACATTTCAGGGGTGAAGAGGTATCCATCCTTCAAAAGGAAGGGAAAACACTGTCCCCTTATGAAGACCTTGGTGTGGATTCAACATGCTTTCCAACCATAAAGGCAGGCATAGCTTTCAAAGCAAAGGCCTGGCAGCCCCTGGTAGGAAGGGGTGGGTTGTTATAATCCTTAAACCCCTGAAGGTCCAAGGACCTTTCTTAAGATGAAAGTGCAAATTGGACTCCCAGTGTAAACAGGTGGAAGCTGGCAAAGTAACTCCTCATTCACTTGGCTTCATTATTCTCAGTTTTCTTCTCCCTCTCTTCTGGAGAGGCTATAGCACTGTATTTAGCTGCCCCTCACAGGACCAGCAGCACCTCCTGCTTATGCTGGATATAAACTTGAAGTCACTGAAGCTGCTCTGGGGTTGCACTGGTGTTAGTGAGCAAGGAGAGAATGGGGCTAAAAGTCTCATAAAGATGCTTAAGACCCAGGCAAAGAAAATTGTCTGTGCCATTGTCAGTTCTGTGTGTGTCTAAAGATCCTGCAGTGTTGTTGGTTGTAGCCGTGTTGGTGTGAGGACCGAGGCAGGCAAGGTTCTCGAGGTAAACGTGATAGCTCCTATTAGAGCAACTAAATCCATGACTAAATGCGATCTCTTTTATTAGACCAAGTAAATCTTTGGGTAAATGCGATCTCTTTTATTAGACCAACTAAATCCTTGGGTACATGCAATCTCCTTTATTAGACCAACTAAATCCTTGGGTAAATGCGATCTCTTTTATTAGACCAACTAAATCCTTGGGTACATGCAATCTCCTTTATTAGACCAACTCATTCCTTGGGTAAATGCGATCTCTTTTATTAGACCAACTAAATCCTTGGGTACATGCAATCTCCTTTATTAGACCAACTAAATCCTTGGGTAAATGCGATCTCTTTTATTAGACCAACTAAATCCTTGGGTAAATGCGATCTCTTTTATTAGACCAACTAAATCCTTGGGTACATGCAATCTCCTTTATTAGACCAACTAAATCCTTGGGTAAATGTGATCTCTTTTATTAGACCAACTAAATAGTTTGAAAAGTTGTTCTTTGCAAGCTTTGGGGCACACACACTCTTCTTCAAGCATAGGGACACCAACAGACTCTCTCTATGGTTGAAGAAGGGCGTTTGTGCCGGAAAGCTTGCAAAAAAGAATTTCTCCAACTGTTTAGTTGGTCTAATAAAAGAGCACATTTACCCAAAGCTTTTTGTCTGCCTAAAGACCCTGGCATGTTCTGGGCCTGAATATACAAGTAGTGAGAGGCCCTTTTAAAGAGATGCTGCTCCAGCCTAGGTGCTTCCCTCCCTGCCCTGCACTGTAAACATTTTGGTGCTGATTTGATCTGACATAAAGCCACATACTTTCCCTACTTAAACAGCTTGGCATGGCACATCGCATACGCTGACAATGCGGCTTCTGGTGACACGCTGAGTGATCGCTGGCAGAATTAGATACTTCCTCTGGCTCCCGAGATTCATTGTGTTCCCTGCTCTTTGTCTCTCCCTTCCTCCTCCCCCTCACCATCTCCCCACCCGATATCAAAAGCCAGTGAAAGCCTAATTAGAGCCCTGTCAGACTCTGCACACATGAAAGGCGAGATGAGCATCGTTAATATGGCGTGGAGGGGGAGAAAGTAACATACCAACGGCACACGACCGGCAGAGCTTCGACTCACGATAGTTTTAGTCCTTTCACTTTGAGGGTTGGAAGGACCCTAGTGAAATGCAGGATGGTACAAAGGGCTAGTCGACAGCCAAGCTGCTGAAAACCGGTGTGGGAGCAGCTGACACCATGGTCTGCAATACGCTGCTGGAGCACAGAAACCAGTGGGTGCTTTTTAAAAAAAAAAATGCAACACAATGGACTTTTGTTACCGACACAGCCTGTATTTAATCTGCAGTCTTTTCTCCCCCAGGCTTTGTTCTTGGACTAATTGCACGGTCTCCCTTGCAGGAAATAGTCACCATCGTGGTGTTCGGTGTGGAGTACTTCGTCAGAATCTGGGCTGCCGGGTGCTGCTGTCGATACCGGGGCTGGAGGGGAAGGTTAAAATTTGCTCGCAAGCCCTTCTGTGTCATTGGTAAGCCCTGCCTTGCCGTGGCAGGCTTGAGAAGTGAGGGCAACTCGCGTGGAGAGCGCAGAATGAGTACAGCGTGCGCCAGGCAGATCTGCGTGCTGGGGTTTGCTGTATGCCAGGAGGATGGGTGGCCGTGAACCGAACCTGGAGGTGTGACTGTGGCCAGTCTGAAATCTAGCTGAGGGGTCCTGGTATTGGTGTCCAGGTCCTGCAGGGAGCTAAAGGGCAAGTGCCTGCTAGGGAGAAGCCTGGCTTCCTGTGTATGTGTATGGATTGGATGCTCGTGCGGAGAGGAGAGAGGGATGGAGCTACGTTGCTGCCTTTCCATATCCTGAATGGGTGCTTGGCTCTGCCCAGGTCCCTGCATCAGTCGTGGCAGCCTGAGGAGGACATCACGTGCTCTTAGTGTAGCTGAGAAACAGGCATTTGGGAAATGTCTGGGAAGGAGAAGTTGGGTAACCCGCATGTCTGTCCCCGACGAATCACATCAGCTTCCTGCAGCTCCCATTTTGCCTCCCCATAAAATTGGCATTACCCGAATTATCATCACTGCTTTCCAGAGGTGAGCCCCAGGCACCACGGCTGGATCTAGAGCCTGACTGCAGGTACCCAAACCCCTAGGTATCGAGCGGAGGTGCTGTTTCTAAACCATAAGTCCTGAGGATTCAGGACTTATGGTTTGAGTCCACGTCTGGTACGTTCCCCTTAAAAATCCACCTGCTTTTCCTCCAACAAGAAAAAAGGGCTGAAATTGTCCTTCCTGAAATGGAGGCCTTCAGGTTTGCCTTAGTGATTGAGGCATTAGGTGTTCACATTGCAAGGTGGTCCCTACATGGACCATGTGTGGAACAAGGGCAGGCACTTTGGAGGTACTTATTCCAACCCAGAGCTGTTGCATCGTGCATCAAACCAGAGCTCAGTCCTTGGACTCTTGGCTCCATTTGTCCAAGAGGGGGAAGAGCAAGGAGAGGAGGAATGAGAGTTTCATTCAGCCATGCAGTGGATCAATGTCTTGAGGTTAACATTGGCTTGCCTGGCATTATACCTCCTCCAGGAGGCACGACCGATACAGCCCTTGCTCTCTGCAGTATGCACACACCTGTTCCCCTGATGGAGAGCTGGTAGGTGTTAGCATCTTTGCTGGTTGCTCTCCTGCTCTGGAAGGGGGACGGTGAATGATATAGGGTTAGGCGCTATGTAAATGTAGGTGCAAGAGCAGACTAGCTGAGGGCATGAAATGAAGTGGGAAATCTGAGACTCTACTTGGCTTTGGCCAGGCAAATGTGGAGGAGGCAGTGTGCATCTCTCAGTTGGCACAGCCGATAGTACCACTGGATGATGGCACCAAACTAACTCCAGATTATAAGGGAAGGCTAGAACAGAGGTAATGTCTGAGGGGTTGAATGACTCCATCCGAGCGCCAGTGTCATTGTACCGAGAAAAATGAGCTGGATATGCCAGTTTGGAAGAGCCCACCCAGGGGCGGTGGGGCTGATGGTTGGTCTACGAGGCCTCTGATGAGCCATCTCATGCTCCTTCCTTGCAGACATCATGGTGCTGATCGCCTCCATCGCCGTGCTGGCCGCGGGATCCCAAGGGAACGTCTTTGCCACGTCAGCACTTAGGAGTTTGCGGTTCCTGCAGATCCTGCGCATGATACGAATGGACCGCCGAGGAGGCACTTGGAAACTCCTAGGCTCCGTTGTCTATGCCCACAGTAAGGTGAGCGACACCTGGGCAGCTAGACTGGTCTCTGTGTCTTTGCTGATTTATTATGCTATGTGTTTGACTGTCATTTGTAGGAAGCATCTTGGACAGGAGCTGCACTAATGACCTTCAAAACCAGGATGCCTTGGGATGAGTAATTAGCGCCTGTTTATACCAAAGTGCATGTTGCAGAGGGGATGCAACACTGAACGTTTTCCCCACTGGAGTCAGCTATCAGAGGGCACCACGATCCGCCCCCAAATCAGTGGGAAACGGGGCATTCGTACTAGTCACAGAAGTGATCCCCGGTGTATGGCATTATCAGCCTTTCCCCAGTTGGAGAAGCACTCAATCACATTTTGTTTCCTGTCACTTAATTTAAGCAATATCTGGCCTATTTCCTGATATTTGCTTCCTTTTGAAACCTTAGCAGACATCTCAGAAATGATACTTCCTTCATCTGCTCTTGTATTGACATGCCCCAAAACTGTAACCGTTTAAAGAGGCATGATCTACCCTGGCACATGTAGGTGATATCACCCTGTTGCCCTTCTTCTACAACAGGCTGAGTGTGGTTGTAAAGAGTCTCAACTAACTGTTCAGGCCTGCTGAAGAATAATTTTAGGGTTCAGATGCTGGGGGTGCAGGAAAGCGTGTGCCATCCTATTCCACCTACAGTTTAGTAAAATGAAACAATATCTTGATTTTTGACTTGGCACCTTTGGTTATTGAAGGCTTCACCTTTCTTTGAAAGAATAGGCATGGTTCAAGTGTGTTCTCGTTTCTGTGCAGTGTGAATGCAATATTAAAAGAAGGGGGGAAATTAAGTGCTGCTTCCTCTTTCTGCACCGTTATGTGCATTGTCCTGCAAGTGAAACCCTACATTTGAGGAAACCAGAAACAAGGTGATATACCTAGAGGCTTTCCTGATGGATTGCAAACTCCATCCACATTTCTCTCCACACATTCAGAGCTAAACTCCACCCAAATGAGAACCAAACTATATGTTCGTATGACGCCAAGTGAGCTGCAGCCAACCCCATGCAAATCCCACTTGCTCTTCTTCACACGCATGCAGTTAGACCAGTCTCTTGTTTCTGCTACCAAGTATTCTCCAAATGAATATTAAGCCCAGAGGGGTGCTTTTCCTAAACAGGGTGAAATAAGCTACATTACCTCATACCACATTACCCCTGTCCGTGAAACAGGGCGTTGTCACATCCAAAGGGCCTTGAAATTAGGATATAAAATCCAGATGCAAACTTTGCAGCTGGTTCCCATGTAGATGCAGATGTGCTCCCAGCGCAGAATCGGGCCCCAAGTGATGTGGTCTCAGTTTTGCACCGTACCGCAGATTGCCCCCGTGTGACTTAGCTCAGCTGTCTGTGTCTCGGTGCCAATGGAGAAATCCATCCTTCCTTCCTCTCAGCCTTTACCTCATCCCTTCACATTGTCCCTTCAGGGCAGGGGGGGGTCTCTGATTTATTACAGAAAAAGCCCCCTGTCTCGGCTCTCCCGTAAGATGACAACTACTATTACTAGACGGAAAGTCTAATGGGAAGGTTCAGCTCTGCAAGCCTGTCCCTGCCTTTGGGAACACCCTTGAGGGTGACAGTCCCTTTATTTCGTCCTCTTTCCTACCTGTCTTGCAGGAGTTGATTACTGCCTGGTATATTGGCTTCCTCTGCCTCATTCTGGCCTCCTTCCTGGTGTACTTGGCTGAGAAAGGAGAGAATGACCACTTTGATACCTACGCAGATGCACTCTGGTGGGGTCTGGTGAGTAATTTCTACAAAACAGCTGCCTGCTATTAAAATGAAATAGCCATCAACCCTCCATCTTCTCTTAGGAGGGGAATTGACTTATGAGCGGTTGGTTAGCGTCATTATTAAATGATTCTGGGCTACTCAAATTAGATATCTCTCTCAAATGACCCTTTTTAGAAAATGCTGCAGTGTCTCCTTCCGTGAATTATCTGAAGCTGGGAAGGCAGCAGAAAAGCTCCCATCTGCTCTCAGGGGTAGATGAAGACAGCCTGAACCATGTACTTTGGCATGAATGGGCCAAAACCCCCCAGCTATTTTACTGGGTTATTAAATGGAGTGCCATCCAACTTTGGAGGCAGGGGGTTAATGGTGGCACATTGAAATTTGGACTATAGGGCTGCTGTCTTAAATGTGGGAGCGGTTTAAGAAGACAAGGTTGGAGAGGCATTTGTTTGGGGTGGCTTGGGAGCTGCAAATCTGTGCGGAAGGTTGGACTCAATGACCTTGAAGTCCCTTCCAAACTTTGGACTCTATCAACCCTGGAGAGGTTGTGGATGCCATCAGCAGACTGGGAGGTGATCAGCTCTTCTTTTCAGTCCTGAACAGAGCGATCAACACAGCAGAAACTTCATGGTAGTAACCAAGGGACTCATTCTGGGTATTGAATTTGGCAAACGAAGAGATTCTCATTAGCTTCTATGAGCATAGGAGCAGACACCTAGCATAAGCAGACAAGCCGTGGTACAGCACTTGTGTTTCTATGGGTCCTTGGGAATACCATAGGCACAATTCCCACAGGGGTATTACAGCTCCATACTTCCCCCTTGCATGGGATTAGTTGTTCTGCAACAGTTGAGCCATGTCCATCCAAGATGCCGCATTACAAAAATGCGGCTCTGATCATTTATTTTGACAAGTGCTGCTTGCTTTTAATTATTTATGATCATTCTTCAGAGCGTGCGGTTAAATGCACTGTTGTATATTTTTGTAAGATTAATGGGGTCTTTGTAATAGAAAAGGCCTCGCTACTGAAGGCACTCTGCTATTAAATCTTGGCTGACGAGGGAGGAAAGGGCACTGCTTTAGTTTTTCTGTGCGCATGTTTGTGCGTGTGCGTGTGAATTATTGGATTAGCAGATTGACAAAGAAGGAATTAATGAGGTTTTAATCTACTTTGTTCATTGTTCTCCTGCTCCGGCACTTCCGGAAGCCAGTCTGGGCCTCATTGCAAAGCTTGCAAGACCCGCAAGACCCGCCAGCAGGGTCCTGACCAGGATCCATGATCTGAACAGCTCCAAGCTTTGGGAAGAGTCAGCTGATTCAACAAAGGGGCCACAAACCTGCTGTGAAGTCAGTCCAGTGGTTTTTAAGTGCATTGATTACAGTTAGAAAAACAGAGCAGGGCTTGATGCAACCAGAGAGCAAAACCAAGAACTAGTCCAAACCCAGGTGCCACCCCGATCTGGAGTCAGATGGGCTCAAAGCTGTCCTTCCTGCTGATCCAACTCAGATCTCAAAAAGGAGGGAAAGCACTGCAAGCAATTCATTGAGTGTTTTTCCTTCCTTTTTTTCCCGTTAAAACACAATACTTAATTGAAAATTTGGCCTGGGGTAGTGGCGTGTGGTTCTCAGCATTTCCCAAGGCCATTACTGAGCCTTCGTTCTCATTCCTGCTTCATTGCTTTCCCTTGCATGAGGTCTGAGTTCTGGAAATCAGGGAAGTTCAGGATTTGTGGGTGAAATCAAGTGAACAGAATTTATGCCATCGCCTCCAGCAGGGTCAGATTTCTACCTCCAATCCTAGTTTTTGCAAGTTGAGCCTATCTCTGGTAAGAACAGGCTGTATATTAACATGGTCCTGGCTATTCACTGTGGCCCTAAAAAAAGGATTAGTGGCCCTCGAACTGAAAATGAATGGCACAGGAGAGAAGATAGCTCAGAAGAGCGAGATTCGCCTGGTTTGAAGGAGTGTACTTGTATTTTTAATACATTCTTCAACTCTCATTGTTATAAAATTTAAAAAAAAAACCCAACCCAAATGTGCTTTATTAATGTATTTATTCTGGAGGAATTTTGCATCACACATTACAGGGGCTGTAAACTCTTTGGGGCAGAGGGGTTGTCTCATGCATTTGCAGCATGCTCTGTTTATCCTCTAGATTGAAGAAAGTCTCTGCGTTGAAGGGGAAGGTGTCCTTTCCCAAAATCAGTGTAAACAGTGCTCGCTGACTTCAGGAACAACTTGTGCTAAGCTTTTCCAACCACATTAAGCTCCCTACCTTGTGTCCTAGAGTAATAGCAGCCTTGGAATTGGCAGGACGTGTTTAGTTTAAGGATGGTCTAAAACTTTTGAAATGAAGGGCTTTGAGCTTTACCCACTGTGCAGTTAAACAGAGTACAAACAGACAGTGGGGCCAAAGATTTCTTTTTCACTGAAGTGGTTTATGCACTTGGCTGATAGATAGCTGGGGTTTGTTACAATATAAGCAGTAGATAAAAAAAAATTGGGACTGTGTTATGCATTTAAGCAAATTATGCACTTATTTGATATGCATATAAGTAGTGTCCACTGCTTAGACCACCTAGTACAATGCCTAAATACCCTTTTAGGGTGTTTGGCATCTGCAGTTGTTTCCTTGTCTAAAAGTAGGTCTGAGTCATAAGTCCAGCATCCCAAGCATTTTTGGGGAATGTCTGTAGCCTGTTCAGTGGCATCCCCCCAGGTCACTCTGGGCTATAAACCGTTCGTTAACAATTCAGTGATTACCAAATAAAGCGGTGTCAAGTTTGTGATTCCATATAGAAGAGCCATTCATATGCTAAATGCTTTGTCTAAATGGCATCTAATTGATAGTGCTCTTAATACTTCTGATTAGAAACTGCTGTGGGGAAAGCCAGTAATCAAGACTCGTACTTATTTATACATAATTTTGTTTTCAGCTGACACGCACGCAGCTTCACTAAGCACATGGTGTGGGTTTAGGGATGCTGTTTTAGACTTCAGAGGTGTCGGTGCCCAAGCAGGTGGAAAGGATAGCAGCTTTCATCTGAGCCCTAAGAGTCCAGCTGGCAGAGGGTATGTGGAAAGCTTTCTGAATCAGATCATTTCTGCTGGCTCTGCCTCCACTTTCTGTCTGGACCATCTGGGAAGGCTGGGTCCTGGGCTGACATGTCCCTGCCTAGGGCAGCCTTTCTGGCACTAAAAGCCACCCATCAAAGTCGTCCCCTGCCCATCCTTAACCAAGGAAACCCAGAAAATAAATCTCTGCTTGTATCTGTTTCCCCATTTTATAGTAGGTAACAACCAAATTTCTCCTCTGCTCTCACAACATGAACATAACAACCTTCCAGCCCTGCCTGGAACAGCATCGCAATACTGCTGGGGGGAAAAATAAAATTTCTAAATTAGGATGTATGAAGCAGCAGTAATTCATACCGTCAGCGTAATATGGTATTTTGAAATTGGAATGGAAACCAGTTAATAAGCACTGTTGGAAAGATTAGGAATAAACAGTTTCAAATCTTTATGCATGCAAACAGCTCTGCCTGATTTGCAAAAGCCTCGGCTGAGATGCTAAACAAGAGCGTGGGGGCCACTGTGTTATTGTTCTCAGTCCTGAAGGAGCGATCCAGTCTCCGACAGGGAGGTTTTGGACCAGCAGAAGCATTTGCAGCAGATGGCAATAACCTAGATCTGTCTCTGGGGTGGTAAGAGCTGCCCATCCTGTGTGACTGCAATGAAAGCTTGCACCGTCTTCCCTGGAGCGGGGGGGGGGAAGGGGGTTGCTTTGCGGTTCTGGCATGGGGCTGCGGTTTGGAGGATCTTGCCTCAAATTTCTTGTTGCACCCCTTTGCAGCCTTGGGCAAGGCCAGCTGAGGACAGGGCATAATATGGTGTTCGGGCTGCTCTGATCGAAGGAACGAAGGGACAGATCGGGGAGAGAGGAGGTATGGCCAAGCTGAGATGCTGCACCAGGCAGTAGCTGTCTTGAAGAGAGAGACACAAGCAGCTTCCTCAGCTGGCACAGGCATTAACTCAGGCATAGATACATGTGGTCACTGGAGCAAACAGGCTTTGATGTTGTCTCGTCTCCCTCCTAGATCACACTGACGACCATCGGCTATGGGGACAAGTACCCACAGACCTGGAACGGGCGCCTCCTCGCTGCCACTTTCACCCTTATTGGGGTTTCCTTCTTTGCCCTCCCTGCTGTAAGTAAGCAGCTGAATATAACAAGCCTTATTGCTATCAGCCAACTTCGGGGGGGCCTTGACCTCGGGGGGCTGAAAGTGCGCCGGTGCACGCCTCTCCAATTGCATGGGGTCATGACATCTGAACGAATTGGGCCGGCTCCAAATTCAGGACGTTGTTCTGCCAGAATAACTAGCCTGTGAAAACTTTTGCCCAGCTCTTTTTCCCCACCGGCATCTGCACAGTCCAAAATTATCTCCAGCCAACAACTGAGTGAATTTTTTTTTCCCCCACTCGCCGGGATTATTTTGATGTGGGTTTAAAGAGGGCACTGCACAGACGTGCTTTTTTTTTCCCTGCCTGGGGATCCTGGGTTGGCTGCAGCGTGGAGGGAAGGGCTTGTGTTGTATTGCAGTGTTTGTGGGAAGGGAAGCTGGTTGCCCTCGTGGCATGGCCTGTTGTGGCGTTTTAGAGGGGATGGTGTTGGGTAGGAAGTGAATGAATCGGAGGAGAAATGTGGTCGCGTGAGAGCTGCCACAAACACAGCTGCAAAGCACAAGTCCAGTGTGTGGCCCACTGAAAACAGTCCTGTTTCTTTCTTTCAGGGCATTTTAGGTTCTGGGTTTGCTCTGAAGGTTCAGGAACAACATCGGCAAAAGCACTTTGAGAAGAGGCGAAACCCTGCAGCTGGCCTGATTCAGGTAAGCAAGCAGCAGCCAGGGGCAGGAGCCCCCAGCACCAATGCTAGACCCACATCGCGTGGGCTTTTGCACTGCTTGGGATCACTCGGTCTCATCCAGCAAAGAGGAGCCCTGGGAAGCATCTCCAGGGCAGTTTGGATGTTTGCACATGTTATATATAAGGAACAACCCCTGGTTTTGAAGGCCTGGGTGTTAAGAAGCCAGGTCTGGTTGGACAGCCCAAAGGCAATTGCATTCGGGGGTTAATTTGGGGAGAACTGTGTATACTATTTGGGGGTTAATTTGGGGAGAGCTGTGTATACTCATGCAAGTGAGGGAATCTTAATCCAGCCAAGTTAGGCCCAGTGCAGGCAAGGATGGCATGTGTCGCCTCCACCACGGGCTCCCAGCGCACCCCAGCTTCTCCTCCTGAGAAATGGTAATGGGTCGCTATGAAGTCCACTCTGTCAGCCACACTCTGCCCAACCCATGGCTGACTCCATGGACAAGATCCTCAGCCCCCCTTTTATATACTGCCCCACTTGTACAGCAGGCAGGGAGCTGGCATACTACATTGGGGTGAAGTGAAGATGCTCTGCCTGAACTTGTGGGGAAGTGGCCCCTCTAGGCCAGTATAAATAGCTGAGGGATGGTAAGTTGTCCTAATGCCACCGTCTCCACCATCCCGTCATCCTCAAATGAGATGGCATGTAGTCCCAGGTCTTCACCACTGACCGGCTAATGGAAAATGACCCACTTTAGTCGTAGGACCCATCCATCTTCCTCAGGATTTGACACTGCTACTAAACGGAGGAGCATTGGAAAGGCAGCCAGTGCAAAACAGAGTCGTATGTGCGCTTGCCCGCTTGTTGTCAGGCCCTCTTTATTAAATGTAGGATTGGAGCACCTGTGGCCCCATAGTCAAGGCAGGCCTGATCTCATGCCATCATAGTCATTGGGACTTCACCCAAAGCCCAGCAGTTCCCCAAACCCCCATTTCTCCATAGGAAGGAGCTCTTACTTGGTCTTACACAGAAGAGTGCCTTGAAGGGACAGGCAAAACGACAGCAAAAGTGAATCCAGCAGCCCCACAGGCAGGTCTCCAGTCAGGAGCCTTTGTATTCAAGCCTTTCAGATACACTGGGTCACATTTTTTGCAAAAACTCTGGAAAAGGTGGAAAGGTGACAGTTCGAGGCAGTGTGGAAGGTGCCAGACAACAGCTGGCGACTGGTGTTGCTTAAAAATAAATGCAAGGAAATCAGCCATGGGATAGAAGCATATGCTGTCCGCCAAGCTGGGGAAGCAAAGTAACAAAACCCAGCTTCACTTAATTAGCGCTAATGCAGACAAATTCATTACGGCAGTCTGTTTCCCCCCAAACTGGTTTTATGCAAGGAGAAATTTTTTTATTGATATGATACGAGGCAGCATTCAGGAACACTTTTTTTAAACCAAGAACAGATGTCTGTGCATACGGCTGCCTGGATCCACAGCTTAAAGATTTTGAAAGTAACATCACTTTAAAAAAAAATGGGGGAAAAAACCCTCAAAACCCCCAAGCTAGTTAACTCTTTAGTGGCCTGTAACAGGCATTTGATGCATCATCTGTCAATCACTGTAAGTCCTTAGCACCAGGAAAAGGCATTTCTGATGCAAAAGGTTAGATGAGAGGAGTAAGGTGTCATCCTCTAAGTCAAAAAAAGAAGTGAGTTTTGAGGTCCCTGAAAATATAGACCAATTACGGCCAAATTCTCCTCTCATTTGCACTATTATTAGACAGCAGGGCCACTTGATTTTGATTAATGAGGTTATGCCAATGTATAACTCGTCTGAGGAGCATAAGGATCCGGCCAAAGACAGTGCTTGAAGGTAGATGGGCTGTTTCCATGTCCGTTCAGCACTGTGCGAGCAAGAAGTGCACCATTGGGAACTATGGCAGGGCACCAGCTCGAGAACAGAATCAGGTCCAAAGAGTGGCTCCGTGGCTGCTGGAGCCAGCAGTTTTGTAAAGCAAAAAAAAAAAGAGCTTCCTCAAGTAGGCTGAGATGCCTGTAGTTAACACCCCCGCCCTTTGCCTAGCACAGAAGATGAAACCCAGTGCCGGGCAAGTGGATATGGCTGCTGTTTCTGAAAGGGAGTTTCAGAGGTGCTGAGCGCACGCAGCTCTCACCGAGCCAGTGGGGGTTATGAGTAACAGACTCATAGGAAGTGAGGGCTGGAAAGGAGCTCAGGAGGTCCCATCTAGTGCAGCCCCCTGCTCCAAGCAGGACCAGCCCCAGCTGCACCATCCCAGCCAAGGCTTTGTCTACCCGGGTCTTAAAAACCTCCAAGGATGGAGACTCCCCCACCACTCTGGGTAACCCCTTCCAGTGCTTCACCACCCTCCTAGTGAGAGAGTGTTTCCTAATATCCAACCTCAACTTTCCTTGCTGCAACTTGAGCCCATTGCTCCTTCTGTCATCTGCCCCCACTAAGACCAGCTCAGCTCCGTCCTCTTTGCAGCCCCCCTGCAGGGAGCTGAAGGCTGCTGTACAATCCCCCCTCGGTCTTCTCTTCTGCAAACTAAATAAGCCCAATTCACTCAGCCTCTCCTCACCAGTCAAGTGCCCCAGCCCCTGAACCATTTTCATTGCCCTCCGCTGGACTCTCTCCAATGTGTCCACATCCTTTCTGTAGTGGGGGGCCCACAACTGGACACAGGACTCCAGATGTGGCCTCCCCAGTGCTGAATAGAGGGAACAATCACTGCCCTCCATCTGCTATCAACACTTTTACTAATAACCCATAATAATAAAGCAATAATAATGTGATTTTGCTTTATGCGTGCCATAACCAGCCAAAAGCCAGGGCAGCAGTTTCAAAGCCAGTCCCACTATTTCTTTCAGATGTTCTTGTTTCAAGTCCCCAAGTAAACCCTTCCTTCCACTGTCAGCTGCCTCCGGTCCTGGTGGTCCTGGAGGGGAGGTGCTGCTTGTAGTTTCTTTGCTGTGAATCAGCGGGCAGGGGCAGGATGGATCCTTTGAGCTGGTTTCCGCTCACCCACCCAGCTCCCTTCTTGCCCACAGGCTGCTTGGAGGTTTTACGCCACCAACCTCTCTCGAACGGACCTGCGCTCCACCTGGCAGTACTACGAACGCACGGTCACCGTTCCCATGTACAGGTACCTGCTCTTCCAGCCCTTCCTCCTGTTTCCCTCCCGACGCTGATGTTACCATCCAGCCCGTTCAGTTTTTACATGAATTGAATCATTTTATGGCTTTTTTTGGTTTGTTTGTTTTTAACGCGCATTATAAACTCGCCAAGTGTATTTCTTTTTTTTTTTTCTTTCTTTTTAATTATACATTTTGGTTTTGTTCTGGGTTGTATTGTCGTGCTTTATTTTAATTTCCACAATATTAATTTTCTTCTTTCTTTGTGTCTATGTGTTATTGTTTTCACCTTTATTTCTCTGCATCCATTGTTAGTTGCATTGTGTTGTGACAGTTGCCCCGGCAGTGCGTGAAGACCTCCTCAAGAGCTGCCCTGGAAAGTAGGTAAATGCTTCTTTTGCCCTGCCCTGCCGGCGCTCGCTCCTGGGTGTGTTGTCATGTCGTCCTGACGGGAACCAAATTGCTCTTGCCCCTTGACCGGTCTTGACCTGCCCCCAGACTGCAGCTGTCCTGTCCCCTTGAATAGCATTCACGCGGCGTGCAGCCATCTCCAGGTTCTCCGTGGCCGGCAGGGTCCCCGGGGACAGCCGCGGTGGTTTGGCTGTAGTGGTTCGCAGATGCGGCAGTGAAGTGGACTGAAATGCATGAGAATAGGTTCATGGTCGAGGTGATATTTTTATTTGACCAACTAGATTTTTGCAAAAAAAAAAAAAAATTTCATTGCAAGCTTTTGGCCACAAGCATCCTTCTTCATATCAATCTGGATACCTGAGAATAGGTTTGATTACCCAGTTTCCCCCAGTGGCAGGCCGGTGGGAGAAAATCATTGTGGCTGCAGCAGCTTGAGCATCATTTGCATGTGATCTCTTCTGATTTTCAAGGCAGCACTTTGCTGATACCAGTGGGAGATAAATGGCAGGTGGAGTTATTTCCCTTTAGGGTGTGGGGGGGGGCCTTGCATTTGACCTGAAATTCTGTAGAAGCAGCATAGGAAATCCCTGGACTGATGCCCAAGGCCCAGAAAAGGCAGAGCTCCCGAAAAGCAAGGCACCTTGTCCACCCTGCCCTTTGCACATGGTGAAACACTGTGCTCTCCCCCCTGCAGGCACCTTCCACAATATGGCTCTCTTATCGTGTGGGTTTCCCTTGCTGTTATAAATAGAAAGCCCTGTCATTTTGCACATCCGTGGCTCCGTGTCGTGCTGTGCATCCCCTGTCAACGTTAATGTGCTCATGCGGGTCTGCACAGGGCTTGCTGCAATGTTGTAGGCATCGGATGCGTGCGTGGTGCCAGAGGGGTTGACTGACGGAGCCAGGCGTTGTCTTGTCATTCTGTGTCGTGCACCGAGACAGCCCAGAGGTCCCTAATTTGCCCTTGGAGGGAATATCCTAGTGCAGTATTGTGTTGTGGCACTGCAGGTCTATTATCTTGGCTGAACCACTACATGAAGAGATGTGCATTGTACCTCTGCATCTGTTTCTGCTCAACTTAATTAGGCCTGTTAGGATCCTAGCCAGAATAATATCTCCTGGTGTAAGTGCGGTGAACCCATGTGCGAAACCCAGCATCCAGTCTCTTAATCCATGTTAACTGACCCTCAACATTCACATCCTCGTGGTCAGTGAAGTTTCCTATTGGTTTCCTTCCCAGTGTTTGTCTATTTGGTTTTTTATTTCCTGTGTTTAAAAATGTTTACGGACTCACTTTAGTGTTTCACAGAGGAGATTGTTTCCCAGTTGCATTCAGCTCAGTCAAGGAATATCCCTCTCGTAGTATTTGACCTCGCTTCTCCCCGCAACCTTTTGCCTTTAGCTCAGGATATGTAACTGGGACTGGGGTCAACTATCAGAGAGAAGGACTGCAAGCAGGATCCAAAATCCATTGTAGTCCATGGAAAGACAGGTTTTCAGTGGGATTTGGATCGGGTCCTATGGCTGTTGGAAAGAATGAGCCTAGTTACACAGCCGGACGCAGAGTGAACCCTTTTTTAAATGAATACTTGCTACATCATTTAAGTCCTTGATTTCACATGGAACATAAAGCTAAAAGTCATGTCAGAAGTCAATTGGCCCATTCAGTGAAGGCCATTTGGATGCATTAAGCCAGAGCGCAGTCCATGCAAGAGCAGGACCATCTCTGCTAAAAGCCCATAGAGGATGAAGGTCCTCCTTGGCAGATGGGCACTGTGAGATGGACCTGGACATGACCTGTGTTCACTGGAAAGGCCTCGTCCCTAGACCTAAACAGGCTGGCATGGAGGGTGTAGCTGGAGGTCAGAGGTTGTGGTACATTTGAATATGTGAGTACATGAGCCATTGCACCCTTCGCAAATGGATGGCCACTATGCCCAAGGGCAGAGCCAACCGCTTGCACTTCTCTGTGTCAGAGAGGGAGGATTTTGCTTCCCTTCCCTGTCACATTTTACCTGCAGAAACCTACGGTTTGGTTATTATGCAGTACGCAGGTACAGTGACTGTCACACCCCAGATACATAGCCCTGTTACAAGAAAACCATGTTGTACCCGAATCATAGCATGGCCCGCAGAACGGGAATCTGGGTCTGAATGTGAATGTCTCCAAATGGCAGATACACCTCCTATCTTTGTTTTACACCTCGTTAATGCTTCACAGGGGTCTATCATATTCCAGCTTTCAAACATAGCCATGCTGCTCGTAGAATAAAGTCCCGTGCACCACCCCAATGCTGAAGGGAGTGCATAGGGTCTGGAGGTTACAGAAACAGCACTGGACATGGGAGAACAGGGGGTTTTCTTCAACTCTATCTTTACTCCAGGTGGAGATTTTGCAAAAGTCTCTTTGCAACAGAGTTCGCCTTCCTATAAGAAGGGATCATTCCCCCTCCCTTCAGACAGGAGTTGGGGGGACTCAGAAATGGTTGTCAGCTGCTCTCTGTCCATCACATAGACATGCAAAGCATGATTAGATACGTGCCCACGTGAAGCTTAATGAAAGCAAAAATCTGAACGAGGTCCTTTAACGCCGTATGGGTAATATGCTAGGTACACTCATTTTTTTGGGCTACATCCTCTAACTGAAGCTCCAGACATGCATTAGCAGCTGTGCCAGGGAACGAGTTGACATACGCAGGGTTCCCTCTCCAACGTATAGCCGCTTCTGTCAGCCTATCTTGAAATCTGCCAGGCCAAACTCACAAAAACTCATAAAAAAAAAATAAAAGGGTTAACTCTATGTTCTGGCTGTGACTCTCATCACGCACGGAGGCACGATATGCATCTGCCCTCTTCTACCCACCTCCCGAAGGGAGTCTTGTGTTGTTTCAAGTTGGCCAATACAACAAGGCATGTAAGCTGCCGATGTCATGTCACACGTGTGGGCGCTGGGGTATGCCTGCCACAACACAACCAATGAAAAAGGCCATTTTTGGAGGTGGGTAAGAGGACACGATGTTCTCCTTCGCCTGCAGGGGAGCAGATAATTTGAGGTCTCCTCTACCTTGGCTCAAAGCACACAGGTTGGCATCAACACACCTTTGGGCTCACGTAGTACTGCTTAATCTTCATGAATGGGCTGTCAGCAGGAGCCCTGTGACACGGGCTTACGTATCCCTTGATGCCATTCCAGAAGAGACATCCTGCTTCACACGAGGAAATTTGGATGGATACCTCGGGGCCATCATGGTTTTCCAAAACATCGTGCACTTCAGTGCAGTAGACCTAGCCCCACGTCTCATATAACTAAGACATGCAGGAGACCACTGGGTACATGCACATATTGGATCTGTAACATAAATGCATGGACACTTATATACGCATATGTACACACTTACCTGTTGTTAACTTTTGTAAATTATTAACCAGTTTTTCTTCAGCACCACAAAGTATAACCATGCCCTGAACTTAAAAACATCCTTTTCCCTGGCATAGATCTTCTACATTTGTTGGGTTAAAAAAAATCAGAAAGAATCAATGGCCCTATAGCTGGAGTTTTATATGTGAATATCTGTTTTGGCAGTTGGCAGACCCAAAATATGTGCTTCTGGAGAGCTACATCACTTACGATGTCAGTGTTTCAAATTGTGGCTGACACCCAATTCCAGGGTTTTGCTGATAAAACTTCCAGGGGTAATGGTTTTTTGCAGTGGACGTCTCTATAAGGTGGTCTTTCCCACCTCCAATTTGTTTTACCTGCCTTTGCCTTTTGAGCAAATTGCAAACCAGCTGTTAGTGGAGACGCGGTGTTTAGTCCTACTGCAGCCAAGGAAGTGGAAGCCAATTTGGGTTTGCCAGCCACCTGTAAGCCCAGGTCAGAGTGCCCCTGCTGACTCGACTACACGGAGCTCACGTGCTAATTTTCTTTATTCTGTTTCTTTTACTGTTTTTCTTTCTCTTATCTCTTTGGTTTTCTTTGGTGAAAACACTTGACAAGCACGCAAACGCAAACGTACGGGGCCTCCAGGTATGAAGTGCATGTGAATCTGCCTCCTCCCGCTGTGTGTCATGTCACTCCTTGTTCTTCGTCTGGGACTGTAATTTGCCGAGTGCCTTTGCTGAGACCTAAGGTCAAATTAAAAAAAACCATCCAAACCAAACCAGGCCCAAAGGAGATCCCCACCAAGCTAATTCCATGCATCTTCATAAACAGCCTAGCTCTTCTGCACTCGTGTTGGGAAACTGCATCTAGGTAACAGTCAAAGGAAGGACGAGAGGGGACTGTTTGGGTTGGTTTTCTTACAGCGACTTGCTAAGGATTGTACACATATCCTCAAATTTACGTGCCAGGAACTTGCCCCCTTACTCTTCTGCTCCTTTTCTCCACCATTCTCTCATTTGCACTTTTCCTTTCCACTCTTTTCTCCTCCTTTTTCCACCCTGCCCCACGCCTTGTGTTAGCAGCCACAACTACCCCGAAAGAGATATTCCACCAAAATGATCGTCCTTGCTCAAACGGGGGCCATTTGCCCTCTTTTTAGAAGGGGCGCTGCCATCTCAGGAGGGTGTTTGAAGGTTGTTGGTGATTCATTCAGCGTCAGTCTTCCCTGCGAGTCTATGCTAGGGGCAAGCAAGCTATCTGTGATCAATAATTCATTCAGTGAATTTAACCTCTTGGGATCGCTCTGGCTGGAAGGATTTACAGTATATATATGGGAACTGTAAGAATTATTATAAATCTTATTATCCCAGAGGCTGCAGAGCGTAGTGGATGTCCAAAGCCGAGGAACGCTACATTTGACAGGCATCGCGAGTGATGATAAATATTTTAAGAAGGGCAAGCGTGATTTTCTATTTGTTGTCTGGTATCTCGAGGTCAGGGAGTCAGGGTTTGCTCTCCATGGTGACCGTTTCAATCCAGATGAACTGCACGGGCGTCATTGAAGTGCATCTGATTCAAGGCACGATGTTCAAGCCTGGCCTCCATTTTTGCAGTCACAAGCTTTTTAGTCGCAGCGTAGGGCCATCGCAGTTCTGCTCCCGCAGCTAATCTACAGGCAACAGACCCAATAAATTGCAAGTACAACCTTCGAAGTCTATCTCATTTTTACGCAAGGTGGAAAGCTGGTTTGGGGGAAAAAAAAGACCTTTAATTTGGTGTCAGGGAATGGAAAATGACTCTTTTTTTCTCCTGCTCCCATTACAATCAAAGGGAATATAACTGTGGGCTTCAGGGGGATCTGGAATAAGTCCTATATATTCTCTGGAAATCAGCTCTGCTGAAGCTAAGGGGAGTGTCGATGAAGCAACCGAATGCAGCTACTGGGACCAAGTTGCCCTGAGCCTTAAGCTGGTCTTGGGTTTTGTGTCTGCAGTTATGGCTGCACCCGGCAGCGGTGCCAAGAAAAGTGGACACAGGACCTGAATTAGGGTGCAGAACAGATTTGTGTATTTTTGCCAACACTAATTTATTTTAAGGCAGCAGGACTTCCTAGGTGAATACAGGCTTTACGACTGGGCTCGTAATACTTGGGTTACTGCAGCCTCTGTCCCACAAAGAGAAAGGCCCAATGCAAAGGCAGAACAACTGGGAGGGTTGGGAATTGGCTCCTCTTAGAAACTGGATTTGCTACAGCTCGGTCTGCCCTTTGTCCCACCTTCCCCCACGGGAAGCGGTCCCCACCCGGCTCTGACATCCCATCCCTCCTCCCACTCCTCCTCATCACCCTCACGGTCTCTTGCTCACGTTACGACGGCTGCTTTACAAAGCAATTCACACCGACTCCATCGGTGGGTGTGTGCACGCACGTGCTGTGTCGTACAGCTGTCCTCCCTGTGTTGTGTTGTGTGATGGTATTGTGTTTCGGGGCATGAGCACCCCCCTGTCCCGGCTCTGAGGCGCGTCCGTATTATTTGTGCTACCCTGTACCAGCAAAATTACGCTGCTTCTGCTGATGGCAGCAAACTCCTGAAGTTGGTGGTGGGTTTCTTGATGCTGTAACGGCAAGAGCAGGTGCGTCCATTCAAGGAGAGGTATGAGGCTGTGAAGTCCTGAGCCACATGTACAGACCAAACCTGGAGCAGGCAGGGATTTGAAGACTGCTGTGTTGAGTAGCATGAACTGTGTCTGTTGCTGTATTATGTGGCTCTTCTTGATAAGCTGTTTGTGTAACAGAAACGTGCTTCCTTTCAGCATGACCGAAACTTATGCTGGGAAGAGAGAGAGAGAGAAAATGGAAACCCCCTACCCCCCGACTCCAGCTAAGGCTCCTTCCCCAAATCTTCCCGCAAAACGCAGCAGCACTCACTTCACAAATTGCCCTTTCGCCCAGGCTCAGACGGACAGAAATTGAGATGCAGCCTTTTAACGTGAAACTCAGCTAAATCACTCTGCAAAGCCCAGCAAGTTGCATTGCAGCTGCATTGCATTGCAGTTTCATGGCACTCTACAGAGCCCGCAGTTGCATTGCAATACACACTGATGCTGGTGTATTTGCCTTTTTTTTTAGCCTCCTTGCCCCATTCAGCAGCTGGTATTTGTAAGCCTTTCCCTTGAACCAGGCCCAGGGTCTGGCAACCATTTTCAGCACTCAGCTATGGCAAAGGAGTCCACTGGGCCTATTTCCATGTCCTGGATCTGATTGAGCTGCTGGCTGTCCAGGTTCCCGTTCAGTGTGTCCGTTGGATTCCTGCCGATTTGCTCATCCTTTTGGGGAAAGCAAAAAGAAAACATCCCCAGAGTTTTTACTGGATCTCCCGAAAGTAATCCACAAAGAGAATAAGACGCAGCACTGCCATTACAAATCGAGGGCATCTTGTGCTTGATTTGTGCTCAGCTGGAAGGATTTTGCAGAAACCTCCCAGCCAGCCTGAGTGGCAATAATAATTAAAACCTCACCCCATGGCATGACAACTTGAGTGAAGTCATGACGCCATCAGCTCCTCGGCTTCAGCATGTGCTGTCCTTCAGGTGGGAGATAACCTCCAGCTGATGCTTAGAAAAGAAATGCGCATTCATCATCTGCAGAAGCCAAGGCCAAATTTTGAAGCCTATTTTTGTGCTAGCCTTTAGATTTCCAAGCAAAGGATTTGGGCATCCTTCACGGGCCAAATCACCTTTATGTGCTAATGGATAATTGTGGGTTTTGCACGTGCAAAACCGACGTCCTTTTCCAACTGTATGTGTTCGGTTAAGGATGATCTCAGAAGATGATTTCAAGATCCCGAAGAACATCGTGTGCACCATTATCTCTTGCCTTATTCTGTGAGAAATGGAAAAATCTGGAACTCTGGGTGCAGAAATGATCCTTTTTATTATGCTAACTAGGAAATCGCAAAAAAATATATATATATATCTTTTTTCTGTGAGAGGCACTCATCCATCTCTCTCATTCCCCGTTATCTGGGAAGCACTGGTAATCCCAGTCTATGCAGAAAGTCCAAGTGCTCATCAGTCTTTCCCTCCTGCAGTGAGGATGGTTGAGCTCTGCTCCTACCCAGAGCAAACTTAGACTCTCCTTCACCTCCCGTCATATAGGGTCCAGTTTGGGATCTGAATGCTGCTAGTTCATATCCCAAATGTAGACAGAGGCTGCAGACATAGGAAGTACCTTTGGGGTCTTGCCCTTCTTGCTTGATGGAGCACCCGAACCAGAACAGATGGGGAGAAGGGCTGCCCCGGTTGCTGCTCAGCCCCCTCCCCTTCCTTGCTGGCTGTGCAGCATCAGACCGCAGCCGTTCGATGCGAGCGGCATGTTTGTCTGGAGCACGAACAAAGGAGACGGTGGCACTCCCTGGAGGAGGGCGTTGAAGCGAAGCAGCTCCTTTGGAGGAGCATAAATGCCTTGCTCGGCTTCTTTTGGAGCCCAGGAGATCCCAACTGGGACGCTGCTCTCACAGCTGTGCGCAGCGACCCAGGCCCATTTGCTGCTACGAGCAAGGACGTAACTATTTAAGACATCTCCCCTGAAAAGGCTGCAGATGCAACGGCCCAGCTAAACCGGATGAAACAGCTCAACTGGGGGAAGTGTGTGGCGTGCTCCTCGAGCAGGAGAGAGTAGCTCTCCTGAATGCATCAGCCTCTGGTCCTCTTGCAGAGCCGGACTCTGGAAATTAAGCACCCCCCCCAGCACAGGGACAGGGATTTTGGGGCTGACTTCACAGCCTAAAATTGACTGACAAAGCTTGGGAAGACAATGGCACCCCTTCCACCTGAATGTCTAGACCCTGAGCAGGCTTTTAAGTGGATCCTGCTCTTCCCAGCTAAATGCGGCTGTTGTCAGGGAAGAGACATCTCTGACATCTCTGATTCACTTCCCCGTCAGCTGGGAACTCGACAGTGAATACCGCTATCAAATACTGATAGAGCCGTGTTCTGACTCCTCCTGGTTTACTGGAGCAATACTGCGGCGCGCGATGGTCCTCTCCGTGCCCTGCACGATGCTCGAATGTCTTTCCTCCTCTTCCAAAAGCCAGGAATAAAGGGGGGCAGCACAGTTAATACCCGCCGCGCCATTTCCACCCCATGGGTTTTGCTGCAGGATGAACACAGGGAGATAGGCGGGTCATTTCTTTAAGCAGTGATCGGGGCAGTTAGGGCCAGTCTTTTTTGTCCGGGGGTTTTCCATCATGAGCATGGCTGCACGCTAAGGTAGAAGGCAAAGGATCCATTTGCCTGCCTGAGGCAGCCCAGCCCCAACTCAGATCTGCACTGTGCATTTTGCTTGGGGTGTCTCTGGCTCCCTGCAGTTCTCAGGGCCCCTAGTCAACCAGGAAAATCGTGCTGAAGGTGTTATCCCTTCCTCCCCTGATCCCACCCCAGCTTCCAGCAGGGTCGTGCATCTGGGAGCCCCAGATCGTGTGTGCTGAGCTCTTGTGCACCCCCAAGACTTGGGGCACGACATGTCACTTAATGCGCAGCCCGAGCCCTGGCCTCCAAACAAAGCAGGGCCAAAAGCTCAATGGCAGGCAGTAAACAGCTGCTTCCCCAAACAGCTGTGCTCAGAAGCCCTGGCAGCTGCTTGTCTTCTGGGGGGTTAGAGCTACAGCAGCATTTCTCTCTCTCTCTTCCTTCCCCTTCATTTCCTGCTTTCAGGAACTACAAGCACTCAGGTCCCTGGACATCCTCCCCAGCCTCCTCTCCCCATGGGATTTGCAGGCCATGAGACAGCTTACTCTGGTTTAAAAGTGTGGGGTGGCAGGTGGAGGGGATGTTGCTGGGTGGTCTCGGCCTGGATGTCATTATTAATGGTCCTTGTTCTCTTGCTTTAGACTCATCCCGCCTCTGAACCAGCTGGAACTGCTGAGGAACCTGAAGAGCAAATCGGGATTGACTTTCAGGTCAGCAACATTGCTAGGACAGCTCTGAACCCACCTGTTTGGAGAACTGCCCCTTTGCTTTCTTTCCTATGCCGACAGCCCCAGAGAGTTTCGGTGCATCTGGATGCTGGTACCAAATGGGGTCGCACAGGGACCCCCGCACTGCATCCCTGTCCTAGTGTCAGCGGCTTGCACGTTGTTTTCCCAAGTCCTTCCCAACATCATCTCCTCTTTGGTGTTTGCTGGGGATGCAGGTGGCAGTCGAAAGTGGTGTCTCTCTTTGGCCTTGAGCCTATCCGTTGAGGATATGTCTATACTGCAGACCTCTGCACTCCTGGAAAGCATCGTGTTCAACCTTGCCCTGCATATCTGCTTCTGCTTTCATTTGTCCAACCCAGACATAGGGGAGTGAAGCCATGTCCACACTAGCAATAGTTACCTCCAGAAAAGCTTCACCCCCTCAGATCTGGGTTTCATGTGTGTGAGGGGGAGCAGGTAGCGGGGTATGTTGGAGACCTGCGCTTCCCCAGACTGGAGGGGAGGTGATGCACACAGATCCTTACTTGATGTAGAGACCACAAACGGGGCCTGATTGTTCTTTTACATCTCCCAAGACCACCCCATCCACTTCAGTGGATTTACTCCTGGTTTCCACCTCCGAGGATAGGAACAGAGGCTGTGTTGTCCTGGAGCAAGTTTATCTCAGAATGAAGTTTATCCCAGGATTGGTGCACACACACATCGCCCTTCCAATCGGGGTTTGGCGAGTGGCTGAAAGTACCGACACTTCAGTGATACAATCCCAGGATGACGGTTCAGACATACTTTGCAATGTCCTGGGATAAATGATTAGCCCTTTATATCCCTTTTAGGACATGTCCCTGTCCATTGTCCTGGGACATCTGTAAAGACTGTATTTTGTCCCAGGATAAAATGGTTTCTCCCTGGACAAAGGCAATGAGGCTCTCAGAGTAGGGGGTCCCCCCCTTAGCATGCTGCTTTCTCTCCAGCTCACCCCATCTCTTGCTTCAGCCCCTCTCTAGGAATGGGCATGAATAAGGGGAGAGCTGCATGGTGGGTCCTCCCCAAACCACACAACTTCTGCACATCATACCCAGGGTTTTCTTTCATGAAGGGTGAGAAACACCCTTTTCTGCTCGGTCCACAGGCTTCGAATAGAATCCACAAAGAGTGAAGGCACTGTTATCTGTGCTGATGCTGCAGCACTGTGGCCAGTGGATGTCAATCAGTAGAAATCAGAAGCAACCCATTCATTTTTGGTAGGCCCTCTGTGACACTTCATAAATTACTACGCCTGGAAGCACTGCCCCTCCACAGCTCACACTTTCAGAGTTTGGGAGTTCCCATGTATATTTTTAACCCTTGCTGGGGTGTAACCCCCACCCCCAGTGACTTGGGAATCCCTGAAAGGAGCAGCCAGTAGCAGGATATGGCCGCTGCTCTTGCTAGCCAGCCTGAGCAAAGAGCTGGAGAGGTTTGGGCTTTGAGGGAATGCATCACGGTTGATATAATTGATAAAGCCTCTACTGCTTAACAAGTCTGACTAACATATTTGATTGTGGAAGTATTTGATCCCTGGTTTGGGCCTGGCTTTTAGCTTGCTGATAAGTAGCGATGGGGGCTTGGGAGTGTGCTATATTCCCCAGGCCCTAGATTATGTCTGCTTGACCAGGGCAATTGGATGGGGCTTTCTTCAAAGCTCATTTCATGCCATTCTTCCGCTGTTTGTAATGCTCACTACTGAGTATCCAAAGGTCCGAGGGGTGAGGGTCAGACCTGCCCATGCACCAGCATTTGGAGAAGCTGGATCCAGAGCCCCTATGCAAACCCCTCCTCTGGATCTCAACTTGAACTTCTCCAATGGATCCAGGGCTCATCCCTACTCAGAGGGACAGAAGTCATTCCTCCTGTCCTGAGCTGCATCTGCAGGCTGTCCAGCCCCCTGTGACATGGGTAGGAGAGGCTGGGCTCAGAAACAAATGAGACCCTCCTGGAGGGAAGTGCACACAATTGCAAGTTACCACCAGGCCAATTCTGATGTGTAGAGGGAGGAGGGAAGAGGGAAAAGCCCCAAACTGCATATCCCCCGAGGATGAGATTTTCACACTGGCCTTCATTCAGCCCCTGATTTGATGCCTGCAGTTTCACTTAGTTCATTTTGTTCTCTGCGTCCTTGATTTACTGGAGCAATCAGGTGCTTAGTCACCTGGACGGTGGCCACATGCTACAAACTAAGGGTTCGAGGACTGAACCCAGAGTTTGCTCCCTCATGTGGGTCAACAAGCATTGGCCAAGGATGACGTTTAATGTGGATGGGCATGCGAGAGATGGGCAAAGAACGAGGAGTCCTTTTCAGCCAGCTCCCACCCCCACGTCTGCAGGGCAGACCCGTGCACAAGGCAAGAGGAGCCTAGGGAAGGACATGTCGTATGTCAGCTCCATGCCTAAGGGGGTGAAAGGAAAGTTTGTGGAAGGGGCATGAATGTGCTGAGGATGAGTCCAAACTATTTGCCTCAAAAGCACCAGGGGGAGGAAGGGTGGTGGCCAGTCACTGTCCCAATGGAAACCCTCCTGCCCGTCCCACGGCTGTGGGGCTTTGTAGCGATCTGTATGGCCACAGTTCAACCCTCTCCATCTCGTGCGTCTCCTCTGAGGTTTTGTGAGTCTACAGCTCCCTCCCTACCCAGCCCTGAGCCCCACACGCAAGCGCTCCCTGCTCTCCCTCCCAACTGCCTCACTTAGCTGTACTGTTTGGTACTGTCCTTTCGTTATGTTTTAACAGTGAATGCAACAGCATCCTTTCCCACCTGACTCCATGCTAATGTACTATTGCTTCTGTTTAAAGGAAAGAGCAGCAGCCTGAGCCATCACCAAGGTCTGTATCACTGCCAACACGCCATTCCCATGCTTTACGTGTATATGTGCGTGTACCGTGTGTGTGATGCCATTAAAGCAAATGCTGTAGGTATTACGTGCTTGGTCTCTGCTCTGGGATATGTCTGTGTACCATGTATATATGTAACATTGGGCCTTAAATCATATTTTTCTTCTTTCCAGCGTACCTTGGCTATATTTTTGTAGCTATGTGGATGATGAGTCTATAAGGGCTCTGGTGGTATCAAATATGGCGACAAATTTGCTCTCAGAAGCAGGTGGATCAGTTCTGGGTATCTAGCAGATCTTTGTCCAGCATACATGAAAAAGGGGATTGTTTTATGCCTCTGTTTCCTCTGCTTGTTGCTAAAGTCAGGGAGCTGAAATAAAAAAGACTGGATTGTAATGCTTCCTGCTTCAGTTCCCCGTTATCCGTCAGCACCCAAGACCCTACACCCTGTCCCTGCCTTTTCGTTCAATCCCTGTAGCCACAAAGCAAAGCATGCTCAGCCAGATATCTTCAACCAGGGCATTGTCTTAGGATAGTGGTTTTCAATCTTTTTTCATTTGCAGACCCCTAAACAATTTTGAATGGAGGTGCGCACCCCTTTGAATTGTAAGTGTGGGTATTCACATACTTTTGAACACCACTGTCTTATGAGAAATGCCCTGCCCTCTGCTTTGGGGGTATGAGCAGTCCTATAGCGTGCAGGGGCTGTCCTCTGGCAGCAGCTTCAAATGCCTCCTGACACACATCCCTCTAACTCTTCTTGCATGGCCAGTTCCTGATTATACACTCTGTATTTGCTGTGGACCAACCCGCATTGTCTTTAAACACTGATTTCAGCAGGAGTTTCATACAAGTAAAGAACCCTGCTTAATTGGGCCCAGTATAATTAAAAGATCACCGTCATCATATCTGAGGCTTTGTCCCCAAATGTTACTGCAGAAAGCAGAGGATGTTGTAAGCAGATATGGCGGAAGGACCTTGGGCAGAGGTATCACTTGCACCAAGACATGTAGTGAAATAATGTGTAGGTGCAATATTCTCCCAAGCCTGTCATTAAATAGAGTTGCTGGGAAGTTTTAGGCTCAACATGTTTCCTAACGAAATATGGGGGGAAATGCAGATAATTTAGGGGGCACATTTTCCCATTTTCCATCCAATGAAAGCTTACAAAGTTGTAAGGGGCTTGGTATTCTACCGGTTCCTCACGGCCGTGATTGCAGGCCATATTTCCATCTTCTCCTGGGGAAGGAGGGAAATGCACAAAATCCGGCTAACCAGCAAGATCATCCCCATGGGTTGTTTTTTTAAATCTTCCATCCCACATCACCAAGCGTAGCTTAATGTCTAAATACATTAGAAAGAGGAAAATTACACGTCTAACTAAGCACATTTTCCAGTTCAGTAGCATTTGGGTGCATGGCTAGAGGCTGGTATTTGGCAGAACGCATGTTGCCACATGGGCACGTGTTCCTTCTGTCGCACCTTTCAATTTGAGAAGTTGCGAGCAGACTTAGGTTTCCACTGGCACAAAATCCAGCCGAGGATGTATCAACAGATAAGGTGCCAGCAAAGTGGATCAGCATCCCAGCTTTACTTTTAGTCTACTTTATCTCCTTCTCCTTTATCTCCTCTGAGCTTTGCTTTGCAATTATAGAACCTTCCTAGTCCTCCTAAACCACCAAATAAAACTAATCATCAAGATCATGTTTTCACAATTAAGACCTTATTTCTTCCTGGTTTGAAATTCAGACTTGTACCATTAAACAGAATATAGCCCCTAATCCAGTAGTCCAGGAGTCAAGTATTATTGTCAAGGAACAAAGCCCAGCCAGTGCTTTCCTGGGATAGACCAACAGGTGAAATCTTACCTTAATTGCTACTGAGTTCAACAAGGATGAGATTACACTCTGTGGCTAAGTACACAGTCAAAAAGCCTGAGGCTGAATCAGTTTGGTCTTTGCAGGTTAGTTTAAGCGGTGTGGATTGAACCGATGAACAAACGTTTGCTTTTGATTCCAGAAATGCAGCCACATGCCTACAGTGGCCCAGGCCAGAAGCCAGGGGTGCTAGAGCATGCCTCCCTGCTGGGCAGGAGCAGACAACCTGGCCCAAGGCTAGCCCACCCACCCTGCGAGGGGGGGGGGGCAGGTTGCAGGGGAGGTGCAAAGCATCCTGGGATGCTGGGGGACTGTGAGTTAACTTGAATCTGGAGGAGCTCTGGAACAGAAGTTCAATAAACCGATTTCACCTAACTCAGTTCAGTCTGATACTACATCCATCCAGGTTTATCTTAAACCAGTTTCAGCCAGCGTGGAAGTGGTTTATGTGCAGTGAACTTCTGTTGTGTTACAGATTTGAAATGGTTTCTTATCACTTATACCGATTTCTGTGTAATTTCTGTCCCTAGCCAAAGAGTCGAGCTAAATCTATTATCTTGTATCAGATGTTGGTTGTTTCAGAGGAAAAAGGTAAATCCCCAGAATGCATCTTCTTGTGCCGCAGAAGTCCTTGCTTCGACCCAGCCCAGCATCTCTCATGAGGTCTGAGTACTGATAGTTCTTGTTAATGTTATCCTAGCCAGTGCAACTGTCACCATAGGTGATATTTTTAGTCAAATAGGTATTTTTCTTTGGATGGCAACAGTCTCCTGCAGCAGTGAGTTACACAGGTTAACACAGTCATTTAAAGTAGTATTTCCCTTCATTGGTGATAGAAATTTCCATTGTAATGTTACGGAGAGCCCTTTTGTTCCTGTGCTTTGGGAAGTAGTAAACAGCAGTGGCCTTCTCTGCAGAATTCAATTTGTGATAAGGCCTCCTCATCAGTTATCGCTAGACCCTCAAACGTTTACTTGCACTGATTTCAGTAGGACCTTCTGGTGCTACTCAGCGTGTACAGGGGCATCACCATCTGGTCCTTAGCTTTGCTTAACTTTAAAGTGAATCTGATGCATGCGTCTCGCTTCAGGAATCCTAGCCAATAAGTGACATGCCTAATGGTTATTTGTCTACCCTGAATAACCATAACACCAGCTGGGACGTCCTCAAGTCGGGCATACAGCATTCAGATATATGGCTAAACACAGCATCTTTACTCAGAGGCCAGCAAAAGGCTAACTTGCATCCTCCTCTTAATAGGATGTGCACAACAGATCTCATGACTTATGTGCAAATGCCCATTCATTCGCAGCTACAAGGAAGTGCCAGCTTTCTGGAAATACAGAGCACTGGGATGTTAAAAATCATAGCAGTCCTTTAGTAACATTCCACAAATAGCCCCTTTTCAAATTTATTTCGCTCCTAATTGCTCATAAAAATGCTGATTTGACACGTCCTGCAGTACATGTCGGACCTCAGGGAATCTCAGACCTCCAGCCCAGCTATCACGTCACGTAGCCTTCTTTTCTGCCCGTGGTGTGCAGCAAAGTCCTCAGATACCAAAATTCATCCCTGTCACCTCAAAGCAAAACATGCTTTGCCTCTAAGAGGCATCTCTTAGCATCTCTGAAATGAGGGCTGCGTTTCCAGCACAGCGCGTGGGGCCCTGTAGAGGATGGGAACCACGGTGGTGGGATAGTGAGCATTCCCCCAAAGACACGGGGGAATGTGTGGGGACACAGTCAGGAAAGCCAACTGTACCTTGTCATGCGTCCACAGATGCGTCTCAAGCAGGTCCAGGGAGGTGATCCTCCCCCTCTATGCGGCACTGGTCAGGCCGCGGCTGGAGTACTGCGTCCAGTTCTGGGCGCCGCACTTCAAGAGGGATGTGGACAGCATCGAGAGGGTCCAGAGGAGGCCACTCGTATGATCAAGGGACAGCAGGGTAGGTCCTATGAGGAAAGGTTGCGGGACCTGAACCTGTTCAGCCTTCAAAAGAGAAGGCTGAGGGGGGATCTTGTGGCCTGTTATAAACTGGTTAGGGGGGATCAGCAGGCACTGGGGGAGTCCCTGTTCCCCCGAGCATGACCAGGAGTGACCAGGAATAACGGTCACAAGCTGGCAGAGGGTAGGTTTAGGCTAGACATCAGGAGGCGCGACTTCACGGTCAGGGCAGCTAGGATCTGGAACCAACTTCCAAGAGAAGTGGTGCTGGCTCCTACCCTGGGGGGCTTTAAGAGGAGGTTAGATGAACACCTTGCCGGGGTCGTTTGACCCCAGTACTCTTTCCTGCCATGGCAGGGGGTCGGACTTGATGATCTGTTCAGGTCCCTTCCGACCCTACTAACTATGAAACCATGAAACTACTATGTAACTATGACACCGAGGTCCTCAACTGCTTCTTCTATAGGATCCAGCCCCTAATTTCATATGCGATGCCTTGAACACTCAATCCCATAGGGACTTCATTATTACCGTTTGCACTGAGGAAGCATCTAAGCACCCCAGCTACGAAACTGAGCTCCGTTGTGCAAACACGGAAGAGAAGAGAGCCTTGCTCCCTTACAAGTAGAGCAGATTTACCATCTGCATTAGAGTCACCATCACCTCTCCACCCCTCTTCACAGTGCCTAAACCGTCCCAGACAGCCCCTAGTTTGCTCCGCAGAGCCCTAGCATTATTTGTCGTTCCTTAGGAATATTATGTACTTGCTGGAAGCATCTCAGCTGGGAGATGGGTTATGTCTTCCCTTTGCCATCTCTGTTTTGTTCGACACCGAAACCTGTCTTCATTCATCTGTGACCAAGTGCTGTAAAGTTGTTTTTCCCGGGCAGGTCATAGGAAACGTCAGCTCATTTTTCTGTGGCCCGCAGTCAAGGTTGAGGGGGGTTACAAAGCATGTTGGGATTTTGCTCCTTTTTCGGAAACGGCTCACTAAAGGTGGCGTGGTTGCACGCCTCTTTGGGGGCTGTGTGTCTGGCCAGCCTGCTGTCTGGATCTGACGTGAGAGTGCAGAAGCAGTGGCAGTTTTCACTTCCTGATGGCTGACGTATGCGGCATGATTTGCCACGATCGCTCTCTCAAAAGGCCGATTTGTATTTGCGTAGTGGAAAT